ACTTTTTTCACTTCATAGCACAATTTTACTGCTATGCATCTCATATTGAGGTATTTTGGACACTTTGGTCCTTTTCAAACATTCTGGTGTACTTTGACACTCTTTTGTATGCACAAGACATGGAACTATGTTCCTTTGTTTGTCTTTTGGTCTTAATGCATATGTTTCATAATCTCTATACTGTTTGGTACTTTTAGGACCCTCCCCCAAACTTAAGGGAAACAATGTCCTCATTGTGAGTGTATGAAGGCTACAAATTGGCCAAAATGAAATGAAGGCCCAAGTTGAATCAAGTGAAAGCTTTGGAAATGGTTGGCTAGTTCTAGAGGCTCAATTTAAGACAAAGATGGTTAAGCTTTGGATTATTGTGACTATGGCATCAATTCAAGCTTTTGTATAACAAATTCATCTTTTATTCTATTTTTTGTGCATATAAGGCTAAAGGAAGATATGCTACTTAAAATCAGTGCCCAAAATCCTAAAATGAAACAGAACAACAAAGATGATCAATACAAGTGTAATTGACTATCTTTAAAATGAAAGAAAACTCAAACTGAAAACAATTGAAGCAGAAAAACAAAGATGAGACGTCACAAGTGTGACTTGGTCATCTTGTGCAAATAAAAGGACATAAAGACTCAACTGAAGGATTTAAACACAACCAACAATCCAACTCTAAGTCAAATTGACCATAGGGTGAGGATGTGGTACCTGGAATGAGTTTTAAATCAAAACAGTCAACCAGAGGACTGCATTTCCAAACAATATGGTAACCTGAAACTAAACAATGGGATTGCCATTGTTTTACCATGAGATAAACCAATTAGAACCAAACAATGGGATTGCCATTGTTCTCTTATGACTTAGCCTGAACTGGTTTTAGCAATAACTAGGGAGGTAAACAGATGAGAACATCAACCATTGTCCTCCCTCAAAGCAGTCATACCAACTGTATACAAAACAACCAAACAGAAGTAAAACAGCAAAGATATAGCATGAGCATGAGTATATGATATCCTAAAAACAGCAAATGTCCTCAATTGAGGATAAAAACAGCAAAATAGAATAGAAGCTGTTTAAAACAGCATATGGAAAACAGCAAAAATTAAAGACTAAACTAAAAGATTCTGTTTTTGCAATTAGAAGTGACAAAGCTACTTCTACAAAATAGCAAATCAAAACAGCAAAGGAAAATGCATAACTTAAGACTGCATTCTCAAAACAGCAAATATAAAGGAACATTACTTACACAGGTAAACTGTGGCTAGAACATGTTCAAAAAGAGTTAAAACAGCAAATCCTTTCTAACAGAAATAGTAATACACAGCAACAATAGCTAACTAAAAACAACAAAAACAAATGGCATAGAGCAAATGACTATGCAAAGGAACAACTAGGCTAGACAGGACTTAAGATACTACTGTCAAAACAGAGGAAAATGTCATGGAATTCAAACAGCAGAAACAACCATGCTCCAGACTTTAAAACAACAAACTTCAACAAATCCTACAAACTATTTAGTCTTGAACATCAACTAAAAGCATTCCAAACTAACAAAAGAGCAAAAGCTTTTAAAAACAGCAAACAAAATACTAAAAGATCATGCCAGCAACAAGCTTTATATAAAAACAGCAAAATAGCAAATGCTTATAAATGGCAAAACATCAAATAAACTCTAAACTTAGCTAGATGATTATGCATAGCTTAGAAAATGTATTCAAGGAGTGAATAAGAGGTGGAACCTGTCCTACTTAGACTGAGTAGGAGAATCTGAGTGTTGCAAGTGGATGGACTTTGGTGGAGGTGGGAGCTTGACTGCACTCTTTGATTTTCCATGCTTGGCAGCAGCTCTAAGCATCCTCTCTTTCTGTATCTTGTATTCAGCCCATTGTACCCTCTCTTTCTTTAGGATGTCTACTTCCTTCTCCAAATCATCCACTTTCTTCATCAACTTATGATGCTTCTTCACTATTACTTTCTTCAAATTGCTAGCATGATCATCCATGGCTTTCATCAATTCAGCCTTTAGAGCTGCCATTGAAGAGGTTGGTGCATCTGGTTGTACTTTGGCATTCACCCTCATTAGTCTATCCAAGTTTTTCTTGTCTATGGAGGTCTTCTCCATAGACATCACATCCTTGGGCAAGGCTAAGACTTGGGCCTTTTGCATAAGCCTATGAATCAATGAAGGGTATAGTAACTTGTCATTTGTTCTTTCCACACATGCCTTGATGTTGGAGCATATCATCCTCCCAACATCAAATGGCCTAGCCTTTAAAATGCAATAGAGGATTAAAACTCTCTCTAGGCACAAATTAGTGTCATGGCTAGTGGGGTGAATGGTGTGCCTCATGAAATACAACCATTAATTGGCTTCAGGCTTCAAATATTGAGTTTTTAGAAGCCTAGCCCTCCCCTTGAAACTCCAAACAGCCCCTTCCTTGGCTACCTTAGCTAAGATCAAATCAAGCTCTTCATCAGTGCACCCAACAGTCAACCTATCTAGCTCAGAGTATGAAGGTGGGATGAGCTCTAGTAGGTCATTTATGGCATTGGGTGAGTATGAAACAAGGGTCTTTCTCACTCTTAAGTCTACCCCATCAGTGAC